GGGCAGTGGACGCAGCAGCTCCACGGGCTGCTCCTGGGTGACGCCAGCTTGGCTGCCCGCAGGGACTTCATCTCGGGCTTCACCGCCCTGCACTGGGCCGCCAAGAGCGGCAACTGCGACATGGTGACAAACATCATCCGAGCGGCCGAGAAGGGGGGGACTCGCGTCAACGTGGATGCCAGGTCGCACGGTGGCTACACGGCGCTCCACCTCGCCGCCATACACGGCCAGGAGAAGATCATCACCATGCTGGTCTACAGCTACCACGCCAAGACCGACCTGAGGGACTACAGCGGGAAGAAGCCCCACCAGTACTTAAAGGAAGGGGCCTCCTCTGCGGTCAGGCGCTTGCTGGGGGACCCCAGCCTTCCCCACAACACGGAGCCTTCTGTGCCCATCAAGAAGAGCACAAAGCTCGCGGCCTCAATCTTGAGCTCCACTAGCACTTTCCTGGGGGTCATATCCGATGACATGGCTTTCTACGATCTCACCAAAGGTTTAAGGAAGCCCTCGTCCTTAAACAAGCTCCTGGCTGCTACTACGGGCCCCAGGAGGAAGCCAAAGACTAGAGGAGGCTTCCCGTCATATTCCTCCCTCTCCGAGGTAATGGAGGAGGAGGAAGAGGAGGTCGTTGTGAAACGCAGACCCGTTTCCGAGCTGTTCTTTGGCCACTAGCCTCTGCCTTCTTGGGATTGAAACTGTTCAATGATGTGACTGGGGTCTCGATTTTCTCTCGCAGAAGCAGCTTGGATTTCTTCTGTCCATGTCTGTCTTTTCGGATGTTTAACTAAACCAGTGACAGGGTCTGGCTCCAAAGGCTGCTGGATGGATCCCGGCTCACAGGTGCCTGTAGAAAGGGAGCTGCCCAGGAGCATTAAAAATGCTGTATCTACCGTCATGGAGACCACAGACTTGAGACATGATGGTTGAAAAAACTGGAACAACCTCTGTGTGTGTGTGTAGACAGGTGAAAATGCTCAAGGCTCAGCCTTCGTGATCTGTGTTCCTCGGCTGGAGAGCAAAAGTGAGGTAAAGGATTGCGTATTTTACACTGTGAACAGCAAGCTGGTAGCTGGCTACTTTCACGTGGCTTGTTACATAGCAGGCTTCAATTATTAGAGGAAAGATGCATAGTTTTCTATGATGTTTCTGATTATTTTGGTAACAGAAGAGGAATATTTCTATTAAAAAAAAAAAAGTGTACTTTTTTCAAAACAAAGTTTCTCACTATCAGAAATACTAACATAACAATCTCAATTGTTGCCTAAAGCAGTTTATTAGATGAACAGGTTGAAAAAGGTAAATAAAAACCAAGCCACAGCACTCAAGTCACCATGACCTGACTACCTCAGTTTCAAAGCTAGGTTACCAAGTTAATTTAATTTTTTTTTCTCTTCCTGGAAGTCTTTTTGACCAGGTGGTACTAACCACATGTCTTAATGATACTGTGAACATTTCAACTTGACTATAGTTCAGTCATTTAATCTGAATAAAAACCTTGTTGATATGCGATAGGGAAAAACTGAACTGAGGAACTGGGAATCGGATCCTGCAGAGTTCCTGAGTAGCCAACTGGAAACAAAGGCTTGTACGTCTGATTCTTTTTATTTACAACTTGGCCTCTGATTTCAACCCATTTCCAATAAATATTTATAAAAATTGGGCTTTCTGTTATGTTAGGTGTTTCATGATAGAATGTCTGCATGACTTCTTAAAGCAATGTTTATCTCAACAGCATGAATCATTGACCTGAAACTAACTCTTCTTCTTCTTTTATATTATAAACATAATTGTTCTATATATAGAACTACACGTAGCTCTGGAAAGCATGCCAACTGCGGGTTAAATAACACATTTGCAGTGAGGAGGTTATTATTTTAATTACTGCTTGGTTACAGTGAATGTGAAAAGGTAGAGCTAAGAAACAGAAACTGTCCAAACTCCTGGGGCCAGTCTGCTGCACCATCACATTTTCTCCTCAAACTGTAACTAAAAAGCCTGTATAATTCAGAAGTGATGAGGGTGATGGCAACACTGCGCTTGCTCTGCTTCTCAGCCCCATCAGGTGTTTCGGTTTCCGCAGTGGAACGCCCGTGTGCGTGCTTTGCCTTCCTTTCCAAGTCAGTGACTTCAGGAATGTTTGGGGTTTTTTCTTTTCTTTTCTTTTCTTTTTTTTTTTTCAGCCTTGAATTAACTTTTGTACTTCTAATTGGCTGTAACTGGCTGGGCCAGGAATGCTGTAGGGCTGTGCTGAAGGTGGAGGCACTGCCCTCTTTGTCTTTCAAACATTCTCCCTGGAGTTGGTGACGTTCCTGACCAGCGTAATCAGCGATTGCAGAAGGGTCTGATCCGCCTGCTCTCAGAAGAGACTGGATTATTCAGCACCAGTCTGCTTCTGTATTGAACTAATTAAGTTGTTAAGCAGACGTTAATGATCAAGCACCTTATGACTTCTATATCTGGAGTAGGGTTTAAAAATAAATAAATAAATAAAATCCTATTTGCTCTATAGCTGTTGGTGTGACCATTGACCAGCGTGGTCCTTTGAAACCTTGGTTTGTGCTGCACTGTGTCAGCTCACAGACTTACGGGGGGG